TCTCTCTCTCTCTCTCTCTCTCATCAATATTTACCCATATTTAGCAAAATTAGTCCACATTTTCATTAAATCTGCGCTAAATATAGCGTCGATATTGCTATAAGCGTCGGGTATTAAAAACGGCCAGCCACTAACAAACGGAGCCTCAGCGCAGTGACAGATACCCATACCTTCCTTATCGCAGCCCATTGTATGAGCAGTATACTTGTTTTGATAAGTAACCTGGTAGAAATATACATTATGACCAGGTTGTGCAGTTGTGGCCACTTGTTTTGCAAACAGATATGTCGGACATTTCATTATCATATCCCCAAACAATTGATAAAATGCTTTCTTCAGCTCAAGTGAACTGTTTTTGTCGACATTTTGCAGATAATAGTCGTCCACACGTTTGATATCAAATCCGTGGTAAAGAGCGTCGGTTTGCTTTGTGTACTCAATAAAGTCATCCAAAGTTATCTTATCTTTAATCTGAAGCACTAAATAGGATAACATTGAGCCCTCAGTGCTGGCAATGCCTGCCATTATGTCCACATCTATTGAATTTAAAATAATTAGATTTTTAGCTTTAAATATAATGTTATTATTAAGTATAATGAATAATAAATCCAAACCTGAATTATATTTTTTGCTCACAAATGCTTTTTGCGCAGAAATGGGTAGAAATTCAGTTTCAAATACAGGATATGTTACGGGATCTGAGTATTTGTTAAATTCTTTTGCATCCAATCCTCGCAAACATTGCAACCAATCCTCACTTTCGCTGCATTTGTGATCTTTTGCTATCCGTTTGCCTAAAAGTATTGCCTCTGTTTTGTTGACCACATCCCTGGCCTTATTGAACATAAAGGCCCCGCTTTCCAAAATAGCCCTCTTGAATAGGCCTTTGGATAGCGGGGAGAGTATGTGAGCGGACACCGACCAACTGCCGGCGCTCTCACCCAATATCGTGATCTGATCCTTATCTCCACCAAACTGTTCAGCATTTTCTATAAACTATTATAAATAAGATATGATGTCATTAATTGTATATATATTTAATCACCAAAAATACAGCAAACAATCAATTTATACCCATTTGAGAGCCAATAATTGGTCATAAAAGCCGACATTTCCGGGCGCGTCCTCCCGATCCCCGTATAGAAAGCCCAACTGTCCTAACCTATACTGTGTTGAGACATACACCACATCATGTATGGCCAACACATTAGTTATTGGTGGTGCAAATATTGAGCCCATTGTCAACGCCCCGCCGTGTATGTGAAACATAACGGGTTTGAGCTGTGATTTGTTTGTATTATGATTTCCAGCATTTGGTGTCCATATGTTTAGTACCAAACAGTCTTCACTTGTGGTCAGATTTGGGAAGAATGGCGACGGGCTTTGAATGCAAGCATTTTTCGGTTTTGTCGCATCGATAATGTTCTAAAAATTTATATATTAAACATTAATTAATGATTATATTTTAGTTTTATTTTTGTGTAATAATTACCGGTTTTGGTGTTTTGATGGGTTCAGGTTTGGCGAACCGGAGTCTCCCGACGGGTGGTTCGGCATAAGGTATACCCAAAAACTGGTCAATACTTATGTTAAACACATTTATTGTCTGACCCCTCACTACACCCGAAGTGGTCTTCACATCAATACAAGCAATGAATTCAACGCAAATATTCAATGCAACTAATAATATAAATAGGGATTTAATTTTTCTCCACATTAAAACTATTTATTTAGCAATTATTTTCAATAAGATTAATTAAAATATTATAAGTTGATTAGCCATATATTGTCGCTTCTTTATATACCTTTTCTGTTCTATACAGGTACTTTCATAATAGTTAGATTATTATGACTTTTACTTAAAATACAGCAAATAAAACACTTGAGTATATCATTAATAAGTCCACAAGTACACAAAAAAATTAGTACAATATTGGTGTATACCTGTATTGATCAGGGATGATCTGTACAGTACAGCATTTTATCATATTGGCTTTACATTTATTACACATTATAAAAGTTATAAGTTATGTCTAAAACGAGTCGTCTTTAATTAATAAACAATCATATTTATAATACCATTGTCTTAGTTACAATTACAGTACAGTATATTTGAATATTTGTGATTGTTTTAAGAGATTTGCCCCAAAATTTACCCATGAGCTCGTTCATGGTATAGATGTATAAAATAGTTATCAAATAAATTATTATTTGAAATAAGCCATCAAATGTACTTGAGTTAAAGGAAATGTTATTTTGATTGCCATATCTGTGTGTTCCCATATACAATGACCTTAATGCACTTAAATACATTACACTAATCAATACCATTTAGGGAACAGTTTGTCCTCTAAATATATATTGTGATAACTAAAATAATTGTATTATTGTAAGTACTATGATACAATGGTCTGGTAATATATTTTTAACCACAATTCAGTATGAATAATGTGGTTTATAGGATCGTT